TTGCTTTTAATTCTTTGCCTATCTGTAACTGACTTCTCATTTTCTTTAGGATGGCTTTAGAAAGGAAACAGAGTGGTAAGGATTTTTAGTAAGGTGGAAGTGTGGTAGTCAAGAGAAAGATTTCCAGAGGAAGCAAGTTGACAGTTGCCCTTTATTGGCTTGCTTAAGGAGCTCCCTTCAAGACAATGGAGAAAATGGTGAAAAGGGAAGGTGGTCATTAGTAAAATACCATTTTGCTCGTTATAACTTTAATGTTGCAACATTCACTTTTAGGGCAAACTTTTGAAACCTGCCTGTCTTATGATTCTTCTAAGGTCTACAGGCTTCTGGAATTTGCTTTTCCTTCGTTGTCATCTTCTTCTTAGTCCTTCTTTTAAAATAAAACTTATTACACTAGGATTGTAAGAGGTGGTAAGAAGCTCTGTGGTTTCCAGTCATACTTATCACATTTAATCACAGCGTCTTCCTGGTTTTCAGAAATAACTTTGAAATCAACTTAAAATGTCAGTTGCCTTAGTATAGTCAGTATAGACAGCAGGAAATGTGCAAAAGTCATGGGTCTCTTCCCTCCAATTGAGTACTTTGGGTTGTGAAATCTGATTCCATAGAAATAGGTCTATAACATGAGATGTTGACTACAGCTGCAGAACGTTGAGTAATATAAGAGAAAACACAGGCTCTGGGACTTGTGGGCTATCCATGTCTTCCATTCAGGTGGGATCTAGGAATAATAGTGTTTCTAAGCTAGAATAAGGGTCATAGATTTTATTTAGGTCATTTTGCTACAATTCTAGTTTGCCTTTGATTTTTACATGTGTCATCCTGCCATTAATAACTAAAACTTTTATAATAGTATTTTTTTTAAGTTCCCCTGAGTTCTAGACTGTGGTTTCGTTGTAACCTTCAGGAGACTTACTTTTTCTCTTTAGCTCTTTGATTTCTCACCTCTAAAGTGAGAATTAAAAGTCTACCTGGCAGAGTAATTTTAAGGATTGAAAGTAAGGATTTGAAAAATAAGTTCCAATGTTTATTGTATTAACACAGCATCTGAAATACATAAAAAGTGCTCATGCATTTAGTTCCTACTTTTGCTTTCTAGTAGAGTGTATGTTGTACTAAGCTTGCAGGTCAGTATTGACTTAATCCTCTAGCTGTGATCTGAGGATATTTGTTTTTATATTTTGCTACCTACATTCTAGGGTAGGTTAGAGAATGGGAGAGTAGAAACACTGATCCTTCAGTAGCTAAAATGAAATGCCAAATGTTTCCAGAGAAGAAAGGTTGTTGAATTACTAATCACGACAATACTTGTAAAACCAAAAAAAGTTAGATATAATGTCTCTTACATTTGTCAGTACAATAGCAAACTTTTTCATGGTTAATAAAATGTAACATCAATATTTGGGAACTCAGTAATCTAAATAAAACAGTAGCTTACAGCTGGTAAACTAAATAATGTGGAAGAAAAGAAAGCACAGGTTAACTTCGTGTATGATTGTCACTCAACACATAATAATAGCTCACTTACATCACCCAGAGGAGAGTCCAAGTTTGTCAGAAGTTAGTTTTAGATTTTTTTAAATTTCAGTTTTTACTTATTGTCATAATAACACTTAACATGAGATCTACTTTCTTAACAGATTTTTAAGTGTATAGTATCATATATTTAACCATAAACACAATGTTGCACAGCAGACCTCTAGAATTTTCATCTTGCATAACTGGGACTTTACGCCCTTGAACAACTTGGCCTTTCCTCCACACGCCAGTCCCTGGCAGCCACGATTCTACTTTCTGCTTCCATGAGTTCTTTCTCCTTCTTTGCTCTTAGGTATTTCATATAAGTGGTATTATGCAGTATTTACCCTTCTGTGACTGACTTGTTTTAGTTAGCATTGTGTCCTCAGTGTTCATTCATGTCACATATTGCAGAGTTTTCTTCTTTTTAAAGACTGAATAAGATTCCATTGTGTGTATATGCTACATTTTTTTTATCCATTCCTCTATCAATGGACGTTTAGATTATTTCCACATCTAAGCTATTATGAATCATGCTGTACAGAATGTGGGAGTGCCTTAATTCAGTTTTTCTATGTGGGCTTAATATCACCATTGTTTTTATCAGCTGTGTTTTCAGAGGTAAAGATTGGTTTCAGCCCAGATATTTGAGTTGCTATTGATTTTTGGATTAACTATTTTTTTTTCCTTTTTCAAGATAAAAGTGTCTTTTTGGCGAGAAAAAAAACAACAAACACTTGAGAATGCTGTCTGAAATAGAAGTATATGTGGAATGAGCTATTGATTACTGATGGCTCTTTTGACATGACAGTAGTCTAACCCTAAAACAGGAATGTCCTTGTGATATATGTGAATGAGTGTGTTGCTTTTCATCCATATTACAGCACCTTCACAATCCAGGTTAGGCATCTTCTTCTCCAAGAGGTGGGTCCGCATCCCTAAGCCATAAGTAATCCTTTCCACCTTTGAATTCTAATAGCATTGTTTATATCTCTCTTTTTAGTTATAAATTGGGCCTGGAAATATAATTATTTGTATTTCTTTTCCCCAGTAAAATACAAGTGCCTACAGGCACAAACTGTTAAATATTTAGATAAACTCAGCAGATACATTATTGAATACCTACTTTGTCCAAAGTACTGTGGCTTAAGTTATACAAACATAAGTATTACACAGCTTTTGTCCTTTTCATTTTGTTCCTCCTAATACTTAGTGTTCCTCTTAATGTTTTTCTCTGAATTTCCAGGGTGCTCTCTTCTTTCCTCCTTCTTCTCTTACTACTTCACAGTATATTGTGTCTCTTCCTCTAATAGACTGGTTGGATAATGAAGATGCCTTAGGCTTGTTCCTGAACTCTCTTCTTTTCAATACATACCTCTATAGGTGATCTCATTTATTCTCAAGCATCTGAAATACCATCTTTATGCCAGTGACTCTCATTGTATATCTGTAGTCCAGACACTTCTGAATATCAAGTCTGCATATTCTAATTGCCTTTTAAGTCTCATGGGTATCACAGAAATAAGTGTCTTAAAGAAAATCCCTGATCTTTCCCCCCAGATATTGTCCCATTCTCCAGGAAAGCACTTTCATCTACCCAGCTACCAAGCCAAGATCCTGAAGTGATCCTGGTCACATCTTCTCCTTCATCCTTCATATTGAGTTTGTCACCAAGTCCTGTTGATTCCACCTCCAAAATATCCTCTGGACACTCCCAACTCACAGTGTTTGCCTTCTGGTCCAATCACCACAAAGTTATAACAGTGATTATTTAAAATCATAAAGCAGATACTGCTTTAAAATCCCTCCTTGATTCTTATTATTCTTAGGGTAAGATTTAGAAACCCTTAACATAGCATCAAGACTCTGCATAATCAGTCCCCTCCAGTTCTATCTTATGCCACGTTCACCCTCTAACCCAGCAATGGCAGCATTCTTTACATTCCAGAACTTTGTTGAGTCCCTCTGCCTCCTGAGGATTTTGAGGATCCCCTAACCCTTGCTAACCTTCTCTCCCAACTTACACATTATTTCCTCAGATTGGCTTTATTCAATCCCTTAGACTAAATTAGGTCCCATCCCCTTTGTACGTCTCTAAATATCCTGAACTTGTCCTTTAGTGCACCTCTGATCATTGGAAAGATATACTTCGTTGGCCAATCATTGGCTCCTCCATTTTCTGTAAGATCCCTGACACCTGACACATAGTGGAGAGTCAGTAAATATTTGTGGAATGAGTAAAATAAATCGACAATAAAAGTTCAAAAGCACACTAAACTAGTGCATAACAGAATGCGTTTACAACTTAAGGCTATGGCTGGGTGCAGTGGCTCAAACCTGTAATCCCAGCACTTCGGGAGGTGGAGGTGAGAGCCCAGGAATTCGAGACCAGCCTGGGCAACTTAGTGATGCCCCGTCTCTACAATAAATCAATTAGCTGGGTGTGGTGGTGCTTGCTTGTAGTTCCAGCTACTTCGGAGACCGCCTGAGCCCAGCAGGTCAAGGCAGCGGTGGCCATGAGCATGCCTGCACTCCAGCCTGGGCAACAGAGTGAGATTCTTGACTCCCAAAAAACCAAAAACAAACCAAAAAAAACCCCTTAGGTCTATAATGTATGGAAATAAGTTTCTAACCCCTATAAGAAGACTTCTACTAGTTCATGACTAATAGACCAATAGAAGCATGTGCTAGTTTTCTGATCTGTGAAATTTTAGAATTGTTATTACCAAAGAATATATTTAGCAACAGGAAAAAAATATTTTTATCAGTTTGACAACAACTATTTATCAATCTTCTGCTGTTTACTAGCACTGTTCTAGATGCCTGGGATACAGCTGGTGGGGTAAAGCTTACTTTCCCATGGAGGGCAGACAGTAAACAAGTACATGGAAAGGTTCACCTCTTGGAAAGCATTTTGATCTAAGTAAAATGGAGTTATGGCAGTTGTAGGGAGTTAGAGAAGTTCTGTTTGAAAAGGTAACATTTGAGCCTAGTGCCAGAGTTGACAAGGAGTCAACCACGGGAGAACTGGGGAAGAGCTCTTCAGGCAGAGGGAATGGCCGGGCATGTCCTAGGAATACAGGGGTGGCCCGTGTCCCAAAGGGTAGGGAGTGAAAGAAGGAGACGCGCTTTGGGATTTAGACATGCCGTGACTTGCAGCTCTCACTCTGGCCTTTTACTCTCTGGGGCCGTGATGATGTCCAGCTCCCTGGAATTACCACGGATAACTTAAACATAACTAACTAAAATAAACTGAGGTCCATAGTGGTATTCATATATATCATTGATAATTTAAACATAATTCGTACACCTTCCACAGCATTTATGTGAAGGAGAAACTTGTAAAGTGAATGTTACTTAAACTAGTGGCTTTACTTATGTGTTTAATAGTTTACTCTCTTTAGTTTATTATCTTTTAAAACAATGTACTATGTTGCTAATTATTTACAAACATTAATATTTACATTGATTTCTCATAAAAGGTTAAAAAGCTGAAGAGAGAACTCTCACAGATGAAGCAAGAACTGCTGTATAAAGAACAAGGCTTTGAGACATTGCAACAGTGAGTATAAAAATACCAAATCAACTTTAGAATAAGCTCACTAACTAAAACAAACAAAATAGAGGTACAGATTACGTAAGAAGGTTTTCAAAGAAACATAAAGTGAAAAGCTCAGAGCTTTACACCAAAAAACAACAAAACAATCAACCAACAGACAAAAAACTTGAGAAAGGTTTTTATTAATCATTGGAGAGCCAAAGAAGCCAAAGTGAAAAACTTAAACTTTGTCTCCCGGGTCCCTCTAAGATTGTGGTACATAGCTAAGAACAGGCACAGAAGTGCCTCTTCACATGCTGCTCTGAAGACTGGACTGCGTGGGCTGCACTTGACCCCGCAGCTGCTCTGGGACCTCTGGTGGAGGTGTCTCTCTGTCAGCCCTAGGGGTGACTTAGAAGCTAACCCTGACAGTTTGCAGGGGGAAAGGAGCAAGTCAGGATTGTCAGCAAAGGAGCTGGAACCTGCTTCTTGCTTCCTGTGTTCCTTCTGCCCTTTCCAGCTCAGTGCTGAAGTCTGGGGGCCAGTGGCACAGCTTTAGGATGGGCCAGGCTGAATGAAAATGGAGATGACAGAGGGTCACAGAATCTGGAAATCTCCTCCTCATTCCAGCCCCGAAGTCACTGTTCTCCCTGCTGGTGAAGCTCAGGATACCCAACCATGGCAAACACACTTGAGACTTTCAAATCCTGTAGTCCCCACCTTACATGGAGAGGATGGCGAGTGTCACTCTAAAAGGCATCCACCTGCTTTTCACTTCCCTCTTGCTTGGTGCCACCGAGTGCAGTGCAGTGTATCCGGGGGTGTTCCTGGTCAGTTTTCACATTTGGGCAGGTTTCTTGTTCTTCCCGGCATCTCTCTCAGTATCACCCCAGGAATGCCATGCTGGTCTTGGGTGCCGCCTCTGTAGAAAGTACCCAGCTTTGTTCCAATTCCGCCTTCTGTTCGCAAGAAATTTGGAACAATCCAGGCAGAAGAGCATTGCCCCTTTAGAGATCCTGTGTGTCACTGGTCAGACAGACATAAGCCAATTGTTCTGTTTGTTTTGATGATGAATTGTATCTTGGGATACCCAAGTGCTCTTGACCACCAGTCAGGAATGTGACTTTAATTTCAGACATTTGCTTTTATGGCTCAGTCTCCTTTTTAGCCTGCTCGCCTCATGTAACCATGACCGTGATATTCTTTCTGATTCTCCTATCCTAGTGGTTTTCAAATCGCACTACATATTATAATAATCTGGGAGCTCTTTTAAAAAGTATATCGGTTTCTGGTCTCCACCCCAAGTATATTTTATGAGACCCCAGGTGGTTCTCAAGGACAGCCATGTTCTAAGAGCCACATCTGGTTGCAGAGCATCCCTAAGAACCAAGCAGACCTGGACTGACATGAATATGTGGCTTAGTAGTTGTTTATCACCATAAAGCAGGGCTTTATGGTAGGGATGGAGAGAGAGAACAAACTTTGAAGAATGTCAGAAAAAATGTTTAGCTGTATGTTAAACATTTTTAAGGCACATGAAATCATGTCACCATCCAGGATTAAAGGTTAGCCATACTTGATGTTTTTGTTATGTTGATGTAACAATGCTGTATTGTTTCAAAGCAGTTTGCTTGCAAGCAATTTTTATAGGAATCTAAGGCATGTTTAAGAATCTGTCAATAACATTCCACAAGAAAACAATAGGCATTTGTTGTAGAAATTCAGGCGTTCTCTTGCAGTGATTCTAATCCCTTGAACCAAAAGCAGAAATCTATGCTAACTTTAGTGACCTCTCCTATTTATCGTAACTAGCCAAAATAAAGCTGTTTGTATTCTACTGTTAATCACTGTATTACTAACACATTGGATGATAAACTGTTGAGCCCAGAGACCAGACATTTTAAGAAACCACATTCCTGACACTATAAAGGGACTTGTAACTGTGGCTGTGACAGAAAATACTTTCCTTTATTTTTTTTTATTTTAAAGATTTGGGGTACCTTTCAGTGATAGGTATACAAATGTTCATTATGTAGGTACCCTTGTTGATGAGGCGTGCCCTGCCCCAGGCAGATTCCCCACTACTGCCAATCCCGCATCCTTCCCCCCCGCACACCCCCCCCGCCATTCCCACTACTGCCAATCATTTTCTTAAAGTATTACGATAATTGTTCAAGATCCACTTATGAGTGAGAACATGTGATACTCAATTCTTTTGTTCCTGTTATATATCGCTCAGTATTATAGACTTTAAGTCCATCCAGGTTGCTGTGAAGTTCATGATTTTGTCCTTCTTTATGACTGCTTAATAGTCCATCATGCATATGTACCACGTTTTTCATCCAGTCTTCTTTCAATGGGCAGCACAGTTGGTTCCATGTTCTTGCTATTGTGAATAATGCTGCAATAAACATATGTGTGCCAGGTGTCTTTTTTATAGAGTGATTTGAGTTCCTCCAGGTAGGTATATTCTAGTCACACAAAAAAGGAAACACCTTGGCATGAAATACCTCTTCCTAACCAGAAATGTGGAAGACCTTTACATCGAAAACTACAAAACACTGCTCAAAGAAAATACTTTTCAAGAAAAGATTTAAATTGAATCTCATTGTAGGCCTTTGTAACTTCTTCATTTATTTATAATAAAATGGAATATTTTTGTTGAATCTGGAATAATAATGTAATTTAAACTTGAGTTTTCATTTTATTTGGTACAATAGTTTTATGCTGGGTAAACAATATAGTTTTGTTTTCTACGTTATTCATTTCAATTTGGGGTCCCAAATTTGACTTTGGCCTAAGCAATAATGTAGCATGTATGTGTTAATGGATGCTAGGAAGATGCATATTTCCATTTGCTGTCTCTGGTGTGCACTGAAAATTGGAAAGTGGGGCATGATGAAATACCCAGCAAGCCATGAGCCATATACAGATTCTATGAAAGTTTGGATCTCAGGGTATACATTGTCCAGAGAAGGCATATAAAATAAAATCTTTCCTCTTTCAGAAGAAAGTAAGATATAGGGTAAAATTAATCATTGGGTACACACAAGTCAAGAACCTCCAATAAGTTTTTAAGAAAATATGATGCTCATATTTTGTTTTATTTTGTGGTGAGTTGGGGTCAAAAGAGACAAAGAGAGGGAAATGAAAAGTAGAGGAGAAAAAGAAGACACACGGCAGTGGGGGGGGAAAGCAAGACAGGATTTACAGCGTCCCGAGAGGCTCAAAGGAGGAAGAATAGAAAGACGAAAAGGCTCTCCACGACGAAGGCGGAGTTAAGATAGCATGTGAGTAATATTGAGCATTCTGTTGGGCAGTGGATAGCTAAGAAATTTTAATCTGTTTTTAAAGTTCTCTGACATTTAAATTAGGAGTTTTAAACCAGTCTTGCTTTTACCTTTAAATGTTAAAGTTTATTTCTAAAAACAGCTTTCCTGCTTTTATTTTCAAATGATAAAGTTTATTTCGGAATTACAGATTTGTTTTATAATTAAATTCTGAAGATTTTACACAAATGGGAAGAAATTACTTTGGCACAGTTTCAGATACCTGTATTACTAGCTATTTTATGAAATCTTGCAGTTTTGGGGGGTTTTTTTGGTTAAAAGTGTTGCATTTGAAAATGCTGAAATGCTGTATTTAAAAATAGCATTTGTTTTGTTTAATAAGCTATTGCCTCAGCTAAGTTGGTGGAGCCAGAAATCTCATTGATAAATTCCTTTCCAAATAAATGGAATTAACCAATATTCAGAGTACCTCACTGTTCTCATCACTTATTTTATGCATAAATCAAATGAGCCCCAAGCCTGAATCTGTCATTTAAAATAGTTACCCCACTAGCTAAGCGTCTATGCAATTTAGGGGCTACATTTGCATAGACTTTCTGGCCTTGGTTTCTTCATTTGGAAGAAATGTGACTACATACTACTGTGTGTGTGTGTGTGTGTGTGTGTGTGTGTGTGTGTAATCTGTGACTTGGTTGGTTGTACTTTATTATCAAGTGACTTTATGATCAAGTGTATTTTCTTAGATTCTTTAAGACTTTAGTTGCTTGTTCAGTAGCAAAAGATATTTGCTGAATTAGTATTTGGGAAAATATGTTATCTAAAACTATACTTGTTTGAGTAAACTTTGTTTGTAAGGGTGATTAAGATGGTATTGTTTTGCTTTTTCTTTTTTTTTTTTTGAGTTAGGGTGCAGTGGCTTGATCATGGCTCACCACAGCCTTGACTTTCTGGACTCAAGTGATTCTCCCACCTCAGTCTCTTGAGTAATTAAGGGCTACAGGTAAATGCCACCATGCCCAACTAAGTTTTTTGTAGAGATGAAGTATTGCTATGTTGCCCATGCTAGTCTTGAACTCCTGGGCTCAAGTAATCCTCCTCCCTTGGCCTCCCAAAGTGCTGGGATTATAGTTGTGAGCCACTATGCCCGGCTGCTTTGTTTTTTTCAAGTTATACTGTTCACATTGAAAGATAAATATTAATTATTAAATCTTTTAAGTCAAATGAACTCAGGGTCTGTTTTCTCCGATTTAGTAGGTATCATTTCTTTGGAGATTGTGGATAAGACCAAAAATATGTTCAAGATACGCATTAGGACTGTTGACTGATGGGGCAGAGAGGCATAACCATACACCGTGCAAGGAGAACCTATGTTGTATTCATAACAAATCCTGGATAGCATAGGTAGCTGGGGAGAACCAGGAGAGTGATCATGAAGAGAATGTTAAGCGCTTTGTAGAAAATAATTGGGTAATTTTGTTGGGTCCTTCAAACATACAGAATTAGGTGCCGTGAAATCCCCTAGCTTGTGATGATGTGACCTATATGGACATTTGGTAAGCAGATCTACAGAGGTAATTAATTAGCTTATTGAAAAACTCTTTGTTCAGTACGAGTTAACAAATGAACATATGGAGCCTTCTGCCTTATTCTTAAATTTGAACTCATTCAGCAAAATAAGCAGTTTTGTCTTGACTCATAACTTTCATAAAAACAGAATAAATATTATGTATATATTTATAAAAGAAATAAGAAACTGACCACACACTTGAAATATTGTAGGATACTCATTAGTATAAATAATAATTTACTTATTTAATAATATTTATTTATTGAATAATAATATTATTTATTATAAAGACCTACCAAGCTGCAGGCCCTATGCTAGGTTTTGCACAGGCATTATGACAAAATATTCCATAAAATTAGGTGGCAGTTTACTGGCATCTCTGTTCTTCTGTACTGGCAACTTATTAAAAAGCAAATACTTGCTAATGGCGTCCCAAAAGGGAGAAGCTGAAATAGTGAATGAAGGAGTTAAATACGGTATTTAAATATAGCAGTTTTATTAAGAATGTAGACATCACCACTGGCTCTAAAATTTTCTCCAAGATACAGACTAAATTCTTACTCAGCTAGGTAAAGAATTCCAAATATCTGAAATAAGAATTCTCAGTGCTTGGGATAATTATGGGATGGAGGGAAGGGAAGAGGAGGAAGAGATACCCTTAAAAAATTTTTGGCTATATCTGATAAGTATATTATATATTCAGAACAGTGATCACAGAATGGATGGATGTTTTGTTTTTGTGATTGAAAGACACTAATTTTTTTCATGTTACAGATGAAAGAATAGAAAAGACTCGCCCAAAGTCACTAAAGGCTTTTTTGTTGTTGTTCTTTTTCTATACTATATTATTTGATATGGCCATTTAAGTTTCTCAGGGTGGAGACCAAGATCAGTACTGGAGGTTTGTGTTCAGCCAGTAGTGGGAGCATCCAAACAGACAGAGTACAAAAAGACATGTATTTATGTGAACCTGAAAGTGATCAGAAATGGGCTGGGTATGAAGTGGAATGGAGAAACAATCAGCCTGAAAAGATGATTGCTGGCAATGAGAGTCAAGAAGTAAATAATCAGCCAACTAAGATAATTCAAAAACCAATTCCTACTGTGTGTTTAACTTGTACTCTGTCATTCTTTGATTTTTCTTTCTTTCATTTTGTGTTTTTGTGTGTGTGTATATGTATCTTTTAACAGAATTGATAAAAAAATGTCTGGAGGCCAGAGTGGGTATGAACTTAGTGAAGCCAAAGCCATTCTAACTGAACTGAAATCTATCAGAAAGGCTATTAACTCAGGAGAAAAAGAAAAACAAGATCTGATGCAGGTACGTTATTAAACATTTTGTTAAGTCGAACTTCTGCCTTCTGAGGCCGCAGAAACTCTGCTTAGGCAGAAGACTCCCTCAGAGTCTGGATGGCCCTTTGCGTCCTCTCCCCTGTTTGTGCAGAATGGGCCCCATGAGAGATGGTTGCGGGCACTAGGGCAGCCTACTGCCTTGGAGGAGAGCAGATTGACTCCAAGTGTCTGGTATGCTGCGTTGAAAACTGCCTTTGGATGTCATCTGAGATAGTGGGTGGCGGATCCTGGAGTTCATAGGAGGAGATTAGCGTCTTGGTGCACCTTGAAACTCACTGAAAACTTCATGTAGGACCTAGATAAACAGGATCTCTAAAGCACTGGTTCTCAGCCCAAGGTACATAAAAGATACATCACTCACCATCAGTAGGTGGAAGGTGTGCCTTTTCTTGGTGAGGCTATATGAGAAAAGCTTTCCGACTCTTGTGATTCTGAGCTGCTAGCCAAGGCAGAGGCTCAGGGACTGTTGACCCAGCTAGGGGACGCCTAACCAGTTAACATGGCAAATCTGCTAATGGCAGAAGAACCCCTTACCAAACCTGTGCAGTTCTTAAGCTAGGGGTCTTAACTCTCAATGATCCAGCCTTGTGTGTAGAAAAAACAAAACATCCATCCATTCAGTGATCATTGGTCTGCATATATATACTTATCAGATATAGCCAAAAAAATTTTAAGGGTATCTTCCTCCTTTTCCCTTCCCTCCATCCCATAATTATCCTAAACACTGAGAATTCTTATTTCAGATATTTGGAATTCTTTACCTAGCTGAGTAAGAATTTAGTGTGTATCTTGGAGAAAATGTTAGAGCCAGTGGTGATGTTTACATTCTTAATAGAACTGCTACATTCAAATACTGTATTTAACTCCTTCATATTAGTTTCAGAAATGTTAGTTGAATATAGAGAAATATTTTGCATTTTGGGAATTTTGAGATAACTTGCAGGAAGAGATCTAATAGAAAAGACAACAGTAATAATAGCAAATACTTACAAGTACTGACTTTGTACCACACACTCTACTAACTGCCTTGCATATAAGTTCATTTAATACTCACAGTTAATCCTAAAGGTGGGGCACTGTTATTACCTTCAGCTTACAAACAGGAAAATTGTAGCACAGAAAAACTAAATAAGATACTTAAAGTCATACAGTTGGTAAGTAGCAAGACTGTGGTTCAAACCTAGGCAGTCTGGGTTTATTTGATTTTAACACACGTATAGCACATATATGACTTAAGTATATATACTTATTTTTGTTCCACACTATCCTGCTGATTGCATTAGTAATTTCTGAAATACATACAATAGGTTATTTTTTAAAAGTTAATAAAACTTGAACTATTTTATATTGGAACCTTATAATTCAACAATTTCAGGTCATCTTTTATTTTTCCTGTAAACTTTGGATTCATATGCGGGCCAGATTAAATTAAAAGATTAGATTCCTTTTCAATTATTAAAGTACATAGAAGAATAATTAATTAGTAGATAAAGAGATTGCCAGTAGAACTGGAACTTTAGATATCTTCTGTGATTTCCAAACCTCTTTTACCACAGTAAAAATATATTTTACATCAAAGCCCAGTACCACAATTATGTGTACTTATAGATACACAAGCACACACACACTGTTGAAATGAATTTCACAGAAATGTGCCTACTCTGAATACTGGTATGTTCTGATTTTATTTTCTAGTATCTTGTATTCTATTTTAAAAGACCATTCTGGTCACAACTTGCTAAATTGATTGAATGTATTGTCATCACAGATAATTGTGATTAAAAGATACTAATTTTTTCACTTTATAGATGAAAGAATAGAAAAGACTTGCCCAAAGTCACTAAAGGCTTTTTTTTGTTGTTCTTTGCTATAATATATTATTTGAGTTGGCCGTTTAAGTTTTATCCTCTTACATACACATTTTGTATACATATCCCTGTGAAAGAAAAAAGAGATGATTAGGTAAAAATACAAGTACCACAATTCTGATATTTCTAATTCCGTATGAAAATTTTAAATATCAGGGTTATACTGGCTCTTCTTGAAATGGATAATAAAGGTTTCTTACTATTTTTATTAGTATTACTTCAAGGCTTGCTTTTTTAGCAATTCATTATATCTGTCTTTTTAAGACTTCCACTTACTTCTCCATTTAAAGAAAACCCAGCATGTTAAACCTTGGTGCCCGCAGCAGGCATGTTTCCTATTGCTTATTCTCTTTACTAAACCAAGAATGTTACCACAGGCAGTGCCATGCATTAGACAGACAGATGGACTCGACTGAGGCCTGTGGCACTCCTAAGCAGCTCCTAGGCCTCAGTTTCCTAATTTCTGACATGGATGTGAGCTGTGTAATCTCCTGGATTCTGTCCAGATGTACCATAGCATGATCATAGAAGTCTTCAAAGTAGGAAGTTGTCTTACTGTATCTAAAATGAGAGATTACATTATAAATATTGTGTTTCCATGATTTCTGTTACATAAAGTGAGTGGGTTCCTTTTGAAGTAGAGACTTCTTAATGAAATTTTTAAAACAAAAAATACATATATTACTTATAATGATACCATTATTCGTAGGAAAATTTTATCTTGGGAAAGATAAGACAACTGTTTAATATGATCTCATGTACTTCCAAAGTTACATGTGCATATGTGCAAAATTATATTCTACTCTTATTTTTTCATTTCTATTAAGTGGTAAGTACCTACTAAAATAATTGTTTTTTCCATTGAGAATAGCTCTTACCTTTTAGTTTGACCTGGTAGGAAGAGGTTGCTCTCTTCATATTTAAACTTTATGAAATATTTGTGTTTTCTAAACAGAGTCTTGCTAAGCTGCAGGAGCGGTTTAATTTGGATCAGAACATTGGCAAATCTGAGCCAGATTTGAGATCCAGTCCTGTGAATTCTCATTTATCTCTCTCCAGACAGACCCTTGATGCAGGGTCACAAACAAGCATTTCCGGAGATGTAAGTTACCTGTGTTGAAGAGTTGTCCCAGTGCTGTCCTTGAAGGACTTTAATTGCAGTATGGATGGTGAGCTGGAAGAGGAGCTATATGTAGTTTGGATGCTGGCTGTGTGCTGTCAGTGTTTCATTCTTGTAAGATTAGTTTTAATAATCACAGCCTTATCTTCTTTGTCTAGGTGCCAAGCACACCAGGATTTGTCCATATGAATAGTTTTGTTCCAACTTTCTCATGTTGTATTTCTTTAGAGACACCATTGAAAGGCTGGAGACACAGGAGAATTTAACTTTTTCCTATTACATTTAGAGTCTTAGAAATGTAAATGGTCCTTTCAAATAAACATTAGGCTAATGAGAAACAGAAATGTATGCCTTTTAAAAATAACAAGAAAATTTGTTTTTGTAAATCCAAAGTTGATTATATTACTTAATTTGTGATTTATATTTGACATTTAAAATACTAAATGGGGCTTGGCTATCATTCACTATTTCAGCTTTTCCCTTTTGGGATGCCAATAGCAAGTATTTGCTTTTTAATAAGTTGCCAGTTATTTTCATATTCTCTTATGCTACTTTGAAATATGTGCTATGAAAGTAAAACAGGTAGAGATCAGCAGTAGGGCTTACCTGTTGGAAAATTAATTTTTGAAGTGTTTTAGTTTATACTTTATACAGTTGAAAGCTAAATGATGGAAATTTTTGTTCGTAAAGGGGAAGAAATTAGTTCTAGTTCATGAATTTTATTGACCTATTCACCCTTCATAAACTCTTAGATACCAGACACATTTCCTGATATTTTTTGTCTTGAATTTAATGTGTGGGGAAAGTGATTTTAAAATCTTTGAGGAACAGGCAAGCTTGAATTGAAAGAAATGTTTTGCCCCTACTGAGACTATAAAGTAAGTGCCTTTTTAAATTGGTGTTTCCCAATTTCAGTACCATCTTCTTTAGCATTTCAATTACTTCTGCTTCCTAGAAACAAAAGCAGTTTACTTAATTCATTAGCAGAGTTAATTGGCTTTTTTCCTTTTGTTTTTCACCAGATTGGAGTGAGAAGTAGATCAAATTTAGCTGAAAAGGTCAGGCTAAGCCTACAGTATGAAGAAGCCAAAAGAAGGTAATGACAGAGGAGCTGTTTTGTTTGTGGCTCAAACATTTTCTTTTCCAGAATTAATATTTACTCCTATGGTGACATCTGCTGGGCATTCCCTGTACATGCCTAGCCTTGGTTTTGCAGCACGTAAGGGTTTCTTCCCTCTCTCCTCTCACTCTCTTCTCCCCCTCCCCCTTCAAAACTGAAGAACAGGGAGGATTTATGAGAAGTGTGGGGATGAAATGGTCCCCTTCTCTTCTGGAAGAAAAGAATCTTTGAGCTTGTGCAATACTTACTCCCAATTAAAAGTGAGAAAATTGGTTTTTCAGATGGGAACACGATACAGTGGCTCACGGATAGGATTTGATAGCTGTTGAGGGGTTCTGAGGTAAATGAGCCTGTTTCTTTGCTGTGAAGGGAAGTTGTAGCACTAATGCCGATGGAGGTGTTGAGGTGTCAGTTCTAGGTGGCTTACTTCAGGGAGAAGGAAATGAGTGTCTTATTTCTCTTTTGTCTTATAAATTCTTATTAACCCCTGTGCTATCTCCTTCCTGCTTTGTGACTAAGGGGTAAGGCAAGGGAGGCTTCACTGTCCTCATCTAGTAGATTCTAAGTCATCTTTATAATAATAAATAAGAAGAAGACCTGACTTATTGAGAGGGTGAGGGTTATACTGATATGTTTGATTTCATTATTTTCCTTTTAGGAACTTAAAATGTTACTGGTTTATGATTTAGGAGATATTGGGGAAAACTTTATTGTCCTTCAGGAGATGGAGGAATTTATCATATTATTCCCCATGAGCATAAAAAGTTCAGCTGAGAAACAGATTTTGAAGTATATTCATTATTATTGGTGATGGTGATAATTTAAAAGGAATTGGCCATAGTTCTTAGAGGTTATCTGGCGTTAACAAAGTATAATACATATAATCTGCCTCTCTGTAACCTGTGATCTTGATATTACTTGGTTCCTCAATTTACCGAAAGAAACCTAAGCTTCCATCCTCAAGTTATTAACCATGTTTGCTGAGCAAGTCCCCTAGTCATTCAGGGCAACAGTTTACTCAGCTAATTTTAATGCCGTTTCTCTGGCAGATTTTAATTTTCTTGCAGTTGTGGAAAACGGTGTCGACTTAATTCTTTTCTCTGCAGCGCCCAGACTGGTGCCCTCCCTCCAGTCAGCACTGAGGTTCAGTTTGTGGTTTTGTGGCCTGGCGATGTGCCAGCTCCTGGTAGCTGCTGTGTCTGGGCCATCCAGAACTCCTGGGTGCTTCTGTGGACAGAACCCAGGATTTATGTCATATTTTCTGAAGGAGAATGGCCGTAACTCAGAATCGACCCTGGAGAAGCAGGCCTCAGCGCCCTTGCATTCCTGTGGGCTTGACTTGCTGTCCCTGGGGCCATCTTGAGCTTCTGCTTTACTTGGACTTCTGGCAGTTAATTCTCTCTGGAGCTTACACAGCATTTCTCTCCCGGTACTCCTGGAAGTTGTCTTCATGTTCTATTCTCCAGATTTGGCACACTGCATCTAAAATAAAACTTAAGACCTGCTAATGCCTGATCACACAAATAATGAATAGGTGTCTTTCTTTCCTGCATTATATGATTGCTCCCAGTTCAGTCGGTTCATTCAGTTACATCACAACTGAAGATATTGGTTCTTTCCCATTGGATGCATTGCTGTCCCATTAGGGATTTTGTTTTAAAGTTATTAGTGATGCTGATGAGAAGGTGCATCTCAAGGGTTTATGTATGCATATGTTGAAAATGCTTTTTCCTCCTCAATTCTGAATAAGTAAAGAGGCAGGTTGTGCTTCCCGAAATCTGTTTTCTCCTCCAGCCTTTGTTTTGTGTGCTTAATGAAGCTAATAATATCATGCTTATTTAGCATTTTGATGATTAATTTTCCAGTACGTTGAGACAGTTGTTTATGGTTTTGTGGTTAAGCTGAAGAATAGCTGATGTTATATCTATCATAAGTGCAGACGATGGGTGAAATCAGAAGCATACTACATATGCGGTGCCAGTCTCAGATGGCAACTTTATTTTACCTAAAACAAGAAACTTATGAACCAAAGGAATGAATCTCCTTCCATCTTTGATCCTGATTATGTTTTTTGTTCACTTTTTTTCTCTTCCCTTCTACAATTTCTTCTATCAAAATTGGGGGGGTTGGGAAAAAATTATTTCTTTCGTACCTGTTTTTTATATTCTGGCTAGTGCTGTAACAATATCCAGAGTGATCATCCAGCATTTTGGGGAGGAACATAGATTCTTTGTGCCAACGTCAGTTGTGTTCTTAGATTACCCCGATCTTGTGCTTATGGTCAAAGGAGCCGTGTACCATTTACCTTGTGAACCATCCTGATTGTCTTCACAGTGCCATGGGACAAGTCATTTGATTCAGGTGATCAGGACACACACTGAGGTGTGAGTGATGTTATAGAGCTGTAGACATAGTGAAGCCTAGGGTCAGGCAAAATTATGAAACGAGTGATGTTTGCCTTTGGTGCTTTTTCTTCCGCCTGCTGCTTCCCTGTCCCCCTCACTTCAACACCTGTTGTCGCTCCAGCAGTGCCATGCCAGCGGCCTGTGCTGGTGAAGGGCCGCTTTGCGTTGCCCACTCCTGTGCAGCCTGATGGCCGAATACAGAGGAATGGCAGGACACACGCGCTGATGTATGAACCATGGTGCTGTGTGTGCTCAGCGAACGGTGCACGTCCCAGTCAAGACCCCGAGGGGGCAGAGGCGTACTGCACGTATCTTAAGGAGAGTGTGGGCAGGCGCAGGCCAGGCCCTGTCTCTTCTCCTTGCCGATTGGGGGACCTGATAGATCAACTCCACTTTAGTTCCAGGTGACCACACCACACTCTTGTATTCACTTATTTATTTATTTTGAGCCAAGGTCTCGCTCTGTCACCCAGGCTGGAGTGTTGTGGCACAATCACGGATCACGGCTCACCACAGCCTCAGACTCCTGGGCTCAAACACCCTCCAGCCACTGTTCTTTACTCTCTCTCCTTCCCTCACTTTCCGATACCCTCATCCCTGCCCAGTCTGTCCTGGGGCTGCCATTTTACTGTGGGATGGTATCTTTACCCAGAGGAACCTGATGTGCAGTAGGGGCGTTTCAGACATCAGTCACCTCAGTGTTTTTAAAGGGTCTCCTCCTTGCATCTGCCTGTCACCCACACAGGTAGTCACACGTCCAGGCCAGCTTCACATGGCCTCCAGTGAGTCCTGCTTTTGAAGCCTCTGTGTCTGGGCCTTCACCCTTTTGTTAGATAGCTGGGTGTGCTCCCTCACATTTTAAAGTTGGGGAAGATGAGCCGGGCTCGGTGGCTCAGCCTGTCATCCCGCGCCTTTGGGAGGCTGAGGTGCATGGATTGCCTGAGCCCGCGGGTTCGAGACCCGCCTGGGCAACTTGGCGAGACCTCATCTCTAAATAAATCAAAAATTAGCTGGGCATGGTAACGCGTGCCTGTAGTTCCAGCTCCTTGGAAGCCTGAGGCGGAAGGATCGCCGGAGCCCAGCAGGTCGAGGCTGCGGTGGCCGGGAGCGGCCACTGCACTCCAGTCTGGGTGACAGAGTGAGACTCCAACTCAAAAATAAAATAAAATAAAGGTGGGGAAGATGAAGTGGATGACAGCTGAGTGTGGAACGGGCCCAGAGACTGTCGTGTGGGACTCTGCTCCCACTTAGACCTCTCACAAGCAGACCACACTTCCTGTCTGATAAGATCCAGGCAAAAAAACCTGGGCAGCATTTCAGCCCCAGCTGAGTCTGAACTGTGTTGAACTTCCTCGGGAGATTTAAATATGTGCATGCCTCTTTTATCTCCTTATTTTAGTATGGCCAACTTAAAAATCGAACTGTCAAAATTGGACAGTGAGGCCTGGCCTGGGGCGCTGGATATTGAGAAGGAGAAACTGATGCTGATTAATGAAAAAGAGGAACTTTTGAAAGAGCTTCAGTTCGTCACCCCGCAGAAACGCACTCGAGATGAGTTGGCGCACCTGGAAGCCGAGAGGCAGCGACTGGAGGAGGAGCTGCTGTCCGTGAGGGGAGCGCCGAGCAGAGCTCTGGCTGAGAGGTTTGTTTTCCTCCTGGGAGCAGGGCAACTTGACTCTGGTGGAGGTGTCTTAGTGGGATGCCATTTTCCCTGGGTTTAGAAATCTCAAGCACATCTGTTCTTGGTGGTTTGAGAAGCAGCACAAAAGGGCTTGCTGTAGAGCAGTAAAACACACCCTCCTGTTGCCCTGCATATCAGCTTTTCTGTGTTCATTAGAAACGTGAAACTGGGCAACTTGGCGAGACCTCATCTCTACAATAAATCAAAAATTATCCAGGTGTGGTAACGCGCGCCTGTAGTTCCAGCTACTTGGAAGGCTGAGGCGGAAGGATCGCTGGAGCCCAGCAGGTCGAGGCTGCAGTGGCCGGGAGTGGCCACTGCACTCCAGTCTGGGCGACGGAGTGAGACTCTAACTCAAAAAAAAAAAAAGAAGAAATGTGAAACTGCTTGGGACAGATGAGGAATAACTAAGGAATGCTGACACAAAACCAGGAATGCAGTACATTATTGACAGAGTCTGATAACAATAGCTGTAAACTGTTGCACTCTGATAAGAAAGATTATCTAGACTATTACAGCAGCTGAAGCTTCCTATTGCAGGTTTTATTACTCACAAGAATGCAAAAGTTTATTGCTGTTCATTTCACAAGGAAAAGACAACTTGCTCCCATTGATATCCTGACAGGTCACAAAATGTTCACTTCGATTTTGTTTGTCAATTGAAACCCTGCTCTGTAACAGGTAAAACTGTAAAGGAAAATACTCTAAGCAGTTTTACTGATCTTTCTGTGGGAAGGTGTAAGTTCATTATTTCATACAAAAAGCCCAGTTCTGTAAACACGTCAGCTGGAATATTAAGCTAGGAAACCTCTGTGTGTCAGTGTGACATGAACACAGATGCCCTGTGTCCAGGCCTTGCTGGCTGATGTGGTTGAACACCTGTTTCAGGATGACTGTGGGGCCCTTTCAAGCCACTGTGCATCTATCCTTTTATAAAGGCCAGCAAGTCAAGAGCAGTGCTTGTCCCAGAGTGACAGGAAACAAGTTCACACTGGTATAATTTTCAGTGACCTGGAAGTAAGTTTAAAACACCCAGCCATAATCCAATTGCTTCTTAAAAAAAAGAAATTCTTGTCTTCTTGCCTTCTAATTCCTTGCCCTCAATAAGTGTTTAAGGTTGTGTATCCATATAATATCAAAACATTTTAAAAGTGTGGGGATGGAGGGAGGGAAAAAATTTCTTACATCCCCAGTTAGGTGTTAGTGTGTAGACTTGCCCACCCTCAGGTTGACCATTTAGGTGAGTTGACTTCTGAGTTAAAATGTTGATCAAAGCATTATGTAGCCACAGTGTCCCAGCTTTCGTAGGAATGAGGAAGTCCCCAAAGGAAGAGCCTCTAGGGACTGTGTCCTCTCACCATCTTCAGTAGTGTTCATCTCTGCCCCATTTCCCTTTCTTTTCTTCCCCCTGTGCTCTGACTTCTCCGTCTCCTGGTGCTGACTGAAAGGTCAGTCTCAGGTAAGTGTGAGCAAAGGTGGCCAAGTGAGCCCCATCTGACAAAGGCCAAAAGGAACATGAAGTAAGAATAGGAAGACAAGACAGAATTAATTTGGTTTTTTTCTGTTTTTTCTTAAGTTTCTAGGATAGACGTTTTAAGTCATCAGTAAATGTGATGAAGAGGGTAGCTTTTGTGTGACCCATGTCTAAAACACCAGTGATATTCGGTGTACTGTGTCGCACGTAATAAACGTTATATAATCGTACACATCTAGTGCACCAAGTCCATGTCAGCTATTCAACTTTGTAGTAAGTGAATCTGGGAAGGCCCTACAAACAGTCTTTAAATTGTTCTGAGAGAGAGAAAAAGCACATTTGTTTATTTGTTTTTACAGCTATAGTGTCTTGCGTGTCTTTTTTATTGGGGGAGGAACCTCCAAAAAGTGACTAATGAAGTAACATTAAAAATTCTGGGTTTTGTTCCTAAGTACCCGAACTTTTGACTTTTATTCTTTTGTTTGCCACACATATAATAACTGTCAAAATTCCAGCAGAATCAGTGAACTCATTAGAAAGAAGAGGTATAAAATATTTATATAAAGTAGTTATATTTTTAGTGAGAACCAGCCACAGGTTTGTTCCATGTGGGGAATAAGCAGTGTGGATATGATACCTACAAGACTCTGTCTCCCACAACTGAATGTTAGCAGAAAGGGCATTGTTTATATTTTTTATTTGTAATATGTTGACTTTCTGAGTTATTTGGAAGAGTCAAGGCGTTTAGTATTCCAAGTGAATGAATACTAGTTTCCTTTCCAGTGTCTGTGGCCAAAGACAAGCCCATGCTCATGCTACAATGAGAAGCGGAGGGACACATACTTTTTTGCTTGATCAGCTTAAAGTTTTCTCACTTCTCTCCTGGGATGCTCGGAGGGGCTGAGTGCTCCACATGGCCACAGAGCAGAGCCTGCTGCCCTTAGGAGCTCCTGAGTCCTTTATTTCCCAACCAGGCACAACATAGGTTAGCTCTGGGCTTTGTTGTTGCTCTCCTTGGCTTTGGTGTATATTCCCTCATACTCTGACACTTTTTCTTGGCCGCTTCTTCCTACTGTATGTCTGTATCTCTGCTCTGCTTGTTGCTGCTGTTGCACTGAAGCAGGGTCATGGGGGATTAGCGATGCCCTTGCCAGCAGTGGCTTTCCTCAGTGTCAAGGCAGTGCTGGCAGGAGCTTCTTCTGGGAATACGATTCACTCTGTGAAACTCAGTTTCATCACAGAACAGATTGGGCTCCACCAGCACCAGATCCTTCCATTTCTTCTCGGCCTTTGTATGACTGTCAAAGAAAGCTACCTGCTGCATTTCCCAACTTTTTCTGCTTCCAAGTCATTACTGCATTTTGGTCTCTGAAGGAGCTAATGCAGCTGAACTATCAGCCACTGTGTGTGATTTCGCAGCACCCCTTTCCCCCAGTTCTGCCCGGACTCCACTGCAAGTCACGCACAAAGCCTCCCCCCATGGCCCGATGAAAGTGCTTGTGCGCGCCACGTCGTGGTGGTAAAGTAGATCAGAAAGAGAGATGTGCTCGTGGTGAGGGATCATCAGGCCAAGAGAGAAATTGCTCTCAAGTGAAAAGTCATGCAGTGTAGGTCTTTTTATGCGTATTTCATATTCTTTCCATATAATTATTAAGTTCCTTAGCCAGGCATTGTGGCTAAAGCCTGTAATCCCAGCATTTTGGGAGACTGAGATGAGAGGATTACTTGAGCCCACGAGTTCAAGACCAGCCTGGACAACTCGGCGAAACCTCGTCTGTACAATAAGTAAAAAAAATTAGCCAGGTGTGGTGTTGCACGCCTGTAGTTCCAGCTACTTGGAAGGCTGAGATGAAAGGTTTACCTGAGCCCAGCAGGTTGAGGTTACGGCAGCTTTCATCGTGCCACTGCACTCCAGCCTAGACAACAGATTGAGACTCTGACCAAAAAAAGGAAGAAAGAAAGAGAAAAAAAATTTCTTAAACTCTGTGCTTTTTTAATAACTGATAAGATCTTAACATTACTCCTTATTTTCTCACACATTTCTCACACAAGGTTGTGCCTTGTAATTGCCAAGATGTCTTCATTAGTTGAATGTTTTTTTGCCACTGCTTCTGAAAAAAATTTTAAATCAGGTAGGTAGTGGTAGGACTGTCATTTAGTCTTTAATGGAAGAGGGACACCTTGCTTCTATAGATGACATGAAATTTTCCCTAGGTGCAAAGTTCTGAGTTCAAGAGAAACCAAGCTGTGCTCCCCCAGGACACCGAGGACAGAGGTCAGAGGGAGTGAAGGCCTACACTTCACCAAGGGCAGCTGGAAGGGGGTTATGGAGCAGCTGGACCAGGGGAGGACTCTTCTGGGAGCCAGGTGGAAAAGACCCTTTCTTATCAGAACACTAGAAGGCAGGGATTACAGAAGAGTACAGACAGACAGACAGATGTACACCCTCTTGAAAGGGCTGATAAGAGAGTTTCTTCTAACCCTTCCTTGGTACAGAGGAAGTTGGGGCAGTTGTTTCCCGTGAAGGACACCTGCACTCTGAGAAGGGCTTCCAGGCTGCCACCAGGAGAGGTTCGGTGACCACATCACAGCCAGCCTGTGGCCCCTGGAGGGGTGGCTGTGACTCCCCGGTGCCTTCGTTGTGCTTCTCTGGGTGAAGGCTTCATCTAGGCCCAGTGAGAAGAAAGGCCGGCGGGGGATGGGGACCCTGCTCTTCAGGAGAGAGCGCTGATGTCTGCCTGTGGAACTGAAGGATCTGATTGGAGAACATATGAACAAGAATACAAAGGCCAGCGTCAGGAGTCCAAAGTAGACATGGAAGTCCCGAAGAGCAGCAGCTGAGCGTCACCTGGAAGAGTGGAGGTTGGGTCCTGGGGACTGTGAAGGAGCAGTCTTGAGCCTCTGTGCGGCTCAGGATCCTGTTCCGATGACATCCTGGTGCCTCCTTAAAACACTAGAAAAGACCTTGGTTGTAATGGAAGCAATATTTAGTTTTTAAAACTTACTTCAGAAGTGTTTCTTGAATCCAGAAGACATGGATTTTACTAGCGTTTTTGCTTTCTTCAGACCTTTGCGTGTCTTCTAATTCAGTTAATCTATTTTGTGTTATTTTTTTTCTTGTTGAGTTTTTGTTTATATTTGAGAGATTAAAAAATGACTGTGCTCCTTTTTAAAATACACCTTTGAAAGCTATGAATTAAGAATTTATCATGCTTTGAAGTATTAAAAAATGGCAAGAACCACTTTTTTTATTTTAGCATATAATGGAATAGTGTTGTTGACACATCAAAGGGATAGATACCTATAAATAAAATATGGGCATGTGTCCTTACTGCCTAAAACATACATAACATTTCAAAGAAATTGGAAATTAGGGAAATTGTATTTTTCTCCCAAGAAAAGTTGCTAATTTTTATGTCACTACCTTGCAGGGCATGCTGAGGCTTTGAACAAGTCAGATTTGTTTTTATTGTCTGTATGGCACTTTCACATATATTACTCCATTTGATCCCTGTAACAGCCTTATCAGATAGACACAGGAGGGTTATAGTCACCATTCTACAGAAGAGAAAGGTGAGACCCTTGATTCAGTGACTTACCTAAGGATAGGCAACTTACAAGCAGCAAATCTAAGAGCTGAGGTGAGGTGCACTTTTCCTGAATCCCGTTCTGCTGCTTGCCTGATTGCTCTGAACTGGCTTGCTTCAGTGACGTCTAAAGATCTTCAGGTGACAGAGACTACTTTGTGCAGACTCTTAGTTGCATTAACCCTGTGGTATTTGATATATTTTTAAATGACTTATTATCCAAGTACACAATTCTGTAACACTGTACTCTTAATTTTTTTTTTTTTAAAAATCCTCTGCAGTTGAATGTGGATGAAATTTGACAATCTGGTGCAGGTGACGAGATGTGCTGTAGGTGGGAAAGGAGATTGCTTTTAGGTCTTCCTTAAGCAGTGAAGCCCAAATTCGCCCACAACGGCAATATGGACTAATTGGTTTCTTAATAGCTGAAATTCTTACTCATTTGGGATGGGAGGTTTTATCACTAAATATTACTTTGAAACAAGCCTCACTAAATTCAGTATTTAGGATGACCCTTATTACTCCAGTCAAATGTAGTAGTGTGAAATCAAGTCAAAGACCTATGTGACGATTCGTAGTCTATGTTTAGATATCTGTTGCCCTTGTTTTTCTCCTCACTGTTCTTCTCTAAAACATAGTGCCGTATTATTTACACATTGTCAATAACACTGGCGATTTGGCATAGCTCTGTCCTTCCTGTAGCTTGGCTGCATGTGGTTGGTTCTGCCTCCATTGCTACTAGCTGGGTGTCCTGTTTTCTCTCTGTTGGGTCCATTCAGTTTTCTTCCTTGTGATCTGTAGTGTTTGTATAATAAGAATCTTTCCTTTCTTTTAGTTTCTGTATTTTTTTTAATCATTTGAAAATTAATTCCTGTATTTTGTTCTAGGCTGAAATTGGAAGAGAGAAGAAAGGAGCTGCTACAGAAACTTGAAGAAACTACTAAGTTAACTACTTACTTGCATTCACAACTTAAAAGGTAAGCCTGTCAGATTTTTGAGGAGGAAATTTTTCTCTGACTACATTCAGGCATGTTCTGGTTCATCTTTGATACTTTTCACTTTTTTTCCAACTATGTGAAAGTAAATAAAATAGCTATGCTAGTATAGTTAGTATTTGGCCAAATTTAAAACCATATAGATTTTTTTTTTTTCATGAACCCCAAGGTCATATTTGGAATACATTTTAAATATGTTATAGGAGGAAGGAAGATTTGTTTTTAGCAATCTTCAATACATACTTAGAAAAACACTTTTTTTTTCTCATTGTTCCATATTTTTTAAAAGGGAGAGTAGGGGAGTTTTACCTGAAAATAGCCTTACATTTCCTTATGTTTATTAGAAAAATATCCACTCCTTACATTCACACATAGAGAAGAGGAGAGGAAAGGAGATCTTTTGTGTAACCTCTTTATAAACTTTTCTTTTTTCTCTAAAAATTAAAAAAAAAACATTTTTTTAAGTGAAGTAACTATATCAACACTTTGTACTGTTCCTTTTTTTCATTTCACTAGTTCTTAATTGCAAAGTTGCTTCTAGGTATCTATGCAAGTAGACTTGCCAAGAGGTATTTGATTCTTTTTTTTTTAACTTTTGCAAAAGGAGGATGATTTTTTAATAAGACTAGAGCTCCTACTTAAAGAATATTTGGAGAGCAAGGTTAAAAGTATCAGTGATTCAACATAGAAATATATGGTATACAGTAATGTACCACATCATAACGTTTCAGCCAAGGATGGACCACATATGTTATGGTGGTCCCATAAGATTCTAATACCGAGGCCAGGCACATTGGCTCATGTCTGTACTCCCACTACATTGAGAGGCCGAGTGGGGAAGATTGCTTAAATCCTGAGTTTGAGACCAGCCTGGGCAACAGTACGAGATCCTGTCTCTACCAAAATCAAAAAGTTAGCCAGGCATGGTGGCATGCGCCTGTAGTCCCAGCTACTTGGGTGCCCAAGCCCGGGAGTTTGGGGCTGCAGTGAATCATGATTTTGCCACACTGCAGTCCAGCCTGGCTGGCAGAATGAGACCCTGACAAAAAAAAAGATTGTAATGTATTTTTACTGTACCTTTTCTACGTTTAGATGCTCAAATACTTGCCACTTTGTTACCGTGGCCTACAGTGTTCTGTACAGTCGCATGCTGTCCAGGTTTGTAGCCTAGGAGCAGTAAGCTATATCGTACAGCCTAGATGTGTATTGGACTGTACCATCTGGGTTTCTGTAAGTACGTTCACACAAGGAAAGAATCACTTCATGTATTTCTTGGAACATATCTCTGTCGTTAAGTGACTCATGACTATAATAGCAAGTTCTTCTGTCCCTGGTCATTGATTCTTTCTTAGGGTCCTTCCCTCCAGAGGTCTCAAGGAACCAGTAGGTTGTGATTGGGTTTCCACATGGCAGCAGATTTTACAGCATGTGCTTTTCTTCTCTCAGCCTCTCCGCCAGCACCCTGTCCATGTCATCTGGAAGCAGCCTGGGTTCCCTGGCATCCAGTCGGGGCTCTCTGAACACCTCCAGCAGAGGGTCACTCAACTCCCTCAGTTCCAGTGAGCTGTATTACAGCAGTCAGGGTGATCAGATAGACGTGGATTATCAGTATAAACTGGACTTCCTTCTGCAAGAGAAAGGTGGTTACACTCCTTCCGGTCCCATCACCACCATCCATGAAAACGAGGTGGTCAAGTCCCCCGGCCACCCCAGCCAGAGTGGACTCTGTGGGGTGGCAGCTGCAGCAACAGGCCACACTCCCCCACTGGCCGAGGCCCCCAAGTCTGTGACTTCCCTGTCCTCGAGGTCTTCCCTTTCTTCCTTGTCCCCTCCGGGCTCTCCCTTGGTTTTGGAAGGCACGTTTCCCATGTCTTCTCATGACACCTCTCTCCATCAGTTCACTGCTGACTTTGAAGACTGTGAGTTGAGTAGCCATTTTGCAGACATTGGCCTCAGTGAAAATCAGATATTGCTGGATTCTGACTCCGGAGGAGCAGCCCAGTCTCTCTTAGAAGATAAAGACCTGAATGAATGTGCTAGGGAGCCATTGTGTGAAGGAGCCACAGGTAAATACAGACCTTTGCTTTCATGCATTCCAGCTTAGTTATTTAAGGAGAATTATGATAGGGTTGCTTTCCATATAAACAAACGGTATCTTTTCCCTTCTCTACCTTCTGAGTAATCATTTTGGCTTCATTTGAAGAGGAGTCTTTATTTATATACCTAGACATTTTTATTTACCAAATAGCATTAGTCCCTATTTGATGGACTTAATCAATTAGTACCTGCTCTGTTGTACCGAGATCCTCTGTGGGTGGTAGCTGACTGGGAACATATTTTGTGAACACGCTTCATACTTGCAAATAGTTTCTGGTTCTGAACTAGCAAGGCAAAGAGGGCTTTCTTTTAAAAGTTGGCCTAAAACAGATTAAAACCAAAGCAATTAGCATACTAGCTAATTAGTACCAAGGTTCAATGTTTAGATTGCTCAGGGAATTCTGAATAAATACAACTTTTGTTTCAAGCCAGATTTTCTCTTTCCGCCTAAAGTTAATTTGGAGAAAGCAGGTTGCAGTGTGTGGTGTTATCCTGCCATCTTCTGGCCAGGTTAACAGTTGCAAGCCAAGGAAAGGATGATGACATGGAATTCTTCATGCCTGCATTTGTATTCAGAGACAGAAACAAGGAGAATTCCATCTTTTGTCCTTTGCAAGGCAGAAACTTTTAATAAATTAGATATGGTTGTAAAGAGCCCAAGATGCTACCCTTTTTGGCAAATGATCACTGTTGTGGTCCCAGGAGGATGATATATTCTAGAGCTAGCTTGAGGCAAAATGTGAAATGAAAGCTCTCATGCTGGTCTACAGGAGTTCTGCTCAGTTCACACCTGTTCCTGCATGTCCCACCACGTGGAAGAGGACAGGCCTCCTTAGACATGCTTTCTTACTGTTCCAAGAAGCATTTTCATTTGTGTATGGCCCTAGGAATTCTAAGTATTAATTGACCAGCCAATTCAGATGTTTAAAGACATTGACAAATCCAGCTTGTTTGTGTGGTTTCAAATAATAATGACTGAAATGCCAGGTCCTGCCAGTGGCCTGGAGCAGAGGGAGGGCGGATGAGTCATTTGTGTGGTTCGTGTGCCACCTCCTGGGGAGTTGTCAAAGCTACAAGTGACAGGTTACTGAAATAACCACAAAGAAGTAAGCATAGGAGTGGTGTGCACATTACGGCTGCAACAAAGCAGAAAGCCATGTGGAGCCTCACCTCTGCTTCTGGGGAAAAGGTGTGTGTGTGTGTGTGTGTGTGTGTGTGTGTGTGTGTGTGTGTGTGTGTGTGTCTTTCTATGCAGGTATCCAGGGTGTGTGTGTGTGTCTGTGTGTGTGTGTGTCTGTGTGTGTGTGTGTCTGTGTGTGTGTCTGTGTGTGTCTTTCTATGCAGGTATCCAGGGTGTGTGTGTGTGTGTGTGTGTGTGTGTGTGTGTGTGTGTGTGTGTGTGTCTTTCTATGCAGGTATCCAAGAGATCTCTGCTAGCACATACTTTGTCCAAGTCTTGGTGTTATCTTATCATGCCTCTTTCCCTCTGTGCCTCCAGATTTTCCCATGAGTCCCTGCCCTGGACTGCCCACTATGCTAAATGACTGGTTTCCCCCTGAAATGAGAGCTTTTCCAGACACCTAGGACATTGAGGATACTCTATCATTTGTAGAAAAGGCCTCTGAGTCCTGTTCTTACAAGTTTGGTAATTTCTGTTCTCCTTAAGAACACTTTACATATGGACTTTGCAGCCACTTGGATGAATTTAGAGTCGATCATACTCAGTGATCTATCAGAGAAACAAAGAACAGAGTACCCTACATTCTCACTCATAAGCAGACCTTGAAAAAGTATCATAATACTATAAGAAAGGGATTGGTAGTAGTGGGAAACTGCCATGGGAGATGGGGTCACCTGATGAACAAGGATACCTGCATAATCAACGTTTGTACACCTAACCCTGAATTGTTCCC